GTGGAATGTTGGAGCCGGGTCTCTCATAGTTGGATTGGGAGGTTACAGATAAGCAAGGGAGGAGGCCACATGACTCATGTAGTAATGGATCAGAGCAGGATGCATGGGGATGATCTCATGCTTGACTTAACATAGATACAGATGGTTACATACAGAAACAGTATTCTATTATATGATAGTGTATATCCTTGCTCTGTCAGCTGAGAAGCCTTCCAACTTAAGGAAACTCCAGCAGCAAAGAGCATACCTCCTACCCAGATCTTGGCTTCTAATACCATTTCCCCCAAAAGGAAGTAGCTAGGGCTTCTTGGATAAAGGGCCAAGCCTAAGACTGGAACAGGAAATACACAAAATGATCCTTGAGTGTCTTGTAGCACCAGAAAGCAAGAAAATTCTCAAAAGTAGGACAGAACAAAATACATAAATTTATTTCTTAAGTACATAAATCCACAATGATGTCAAATGAATATAAGAGTGAATGGAAAGATCTGAATAATAAAAAATGAATTCGTATTGGGTTATAATGCAAAATATAGAATAATAAGTTCATACTGACATAGTAAATGATAAAATAGAGAGAGGAGGAAAGAGCAAGACAAAGAAGTCCTGAACAGAAGAAATCCCAAGCACTTTACCTAGACACTTTACCCCTGAGGAGGTGGAGCAGAGCTCCTACTCAAATTGTGGGCTGGGCACTGTGGCTTTCTTCCAAGGGACATGATATCAAAGGGAGAATAAAAGAGTAACTCTACAGCGAGAAGCTAAATGATAGGGATGACACCAGTGAGGAGTCCTGTGGATGCGTGCACTGCGGATATGCTGCGGTAAGAGTGGAACTTCACCTCTGAGGTCTTCCTCCCAGGAACACATGACCTCAGTCTAATCACGTGATGAGTGAGCATCAGACAAATCTCAGTGGAGTGACACTTTACAGAACACCTGACCAATACTCTTCAAAACCGTCAAGGTCATAAAAAACAAGGAAAGTCTAAGAAACAGTCACGACAAAGAAGAGCCTGAGTCTGATGTTGGAATCTAATGTGCTGCCCCGGATGGATGGGATCCTCCTGGAATAGAACACGGACATTACCTAAAAAGAGGAAACCCCAACGGAGTGTGGACTTTTAAAAAATGCATCAATACTGGCCGGGCTTGTGGCTCAGCGGTAGAGAGCTTGCGCAGCATGTGTGGGGCCCTGGGTTTGATCCTCAGCACCACATAACAATAAATAAACAAAATAAAGGTATTTGTCCATCTACAACTCAAAAAAATTTTTTTTTAAATGCATCAATACTGATGGATTGTGACACATACTAATCTGTTAATAGGCAAAAATAGATTGTGTAGGATATTGAAACTTAAGCTGTTTTTAAAGTGAAAGTTGATTAAAAACAAGCAAATGAACAAACACTTGAAGGGAGCCAATGAATGGATTCCCACAGGAAAACAGGAGTGTTCTAGTAGTATTCTATGAAGTGGTCCATTTTTTTAAAAAAGGAAATTTTAGTTTCTGAAATCTTGGAAAGTTTCGGTGTCTGTAGCTTATAGACACTTTTAATGAAGGCAGCATCCTGCCAAAATATATATATGAAAAAATCCTCAGGGAATGTTCTGGTTTGAATATAGGTGTCCCCCCAAAGCTCCTGTTAATGCAGGGATGTTCGAAGGTGAGATGATTAGATTATGAGAGCTGTAACCTAGTTGTCCATCCTAGTTTGAATGGGCTGACTGGGTGGTAACTGTAGGCAGGTGGGGCATGGCTGGAGGAGGTGGGTCACTGGGGCCTGCCCTGGAAGGCTGCATCTGCCCTTTGGTCCCCTCTCTCTGCTTCCTGGCTGCCACCAGGGGAGCAGCTTTCCTCTGCTGGGCCCTCCCACCTCATGTGCGGCCTCACCTTGACCTAGAGCAAGGGAAACTGAACCCTCTGAAATGGTGAGCCCCAAACAAACTTTTCTTCCTCTAAGTTGTTCTTGTCAGGTATTGCGGTCACAGCAACACAAAAGGCGACGAAAGCAGGGAGGGCGGTAGCTGAAGGAGGATATCTAAGGTTCTCTTGGACCTTTGGAGGACTGCTCCTCCAGCCACTTCAAACCTTGGCAATGCCGTGGGGGGGTGCACTGGTTCTCTTCAGGATCCTTCCACACTCCTGTGGTCGCACCACCTCTGCCACTGACATTGGTAGTTACACCCTGCAGGGCAAAAAGGACTCTGACAAAGATCCCCGGTGTGTTAGGTTTTTATTGTCACCCTAACAAATTATCACAAACTTAGTGACTTACAAAAAAACAATAATGTATTATTTCTTTAAGCTGATACAACACAGCTGTCTGACATTCTTGTTATTATTGCCTTTTTTACAAGTGGTAACTGATGCAAGTTTACATAGTCCTCAGGGGTGGACTGGCCTCCAAAGATGACCACCACATTAGCCTTGCACTGTTTTCTCCGAGCGTTATTTCAGAGAGAAATACTTTCATCCACTGTTGTGTGGATCTGTTAGAGCAACTGAAGCTATTCCTAATATACCTCCTGAGCATAGTCATTTTCCACATTTTCTTATTTCTACCTCTGCAACATCTTCTCTATGCATGATTGCTGCACCCCATCATTCCATGAATTCCTTTCTTCTCTCAGGTACCAAAAGAGTCTCCTAACTGAGATGATTTCTACAGTGGTTCTTAAGGTGACTTTGCCTCTCACGGGATATTTGGCAGTGCTATGATACATCTTTGGTTCTTACAACTGGGGAAGGAAAGGGTTCTACTGGCATTTTGTGGATAAAGACCAGAGATGCTGATAAACATCCTACAATGTACATAACAGTTTCCCAGAACAAAGACTTATATGGCCCAAAAGATCAATATTGTTGACGTTGTGAAGCCCTAATCTAATCCACCACTCTCTACCACTGATATATTTTAGATGTGAGCATGCCCTTAGGGGTTCATGGCTTCCTATCCTCTTTTGAATAGCTTTCCCTAAACTTGGGTGAGTTCCAATATTATGAGTCCTGCCTCCCCAAGGAAGGAGTTCAGATTCTGAATCCCAGTCTCCTTTGTAGGCAGGACTTAGGTGTGGGACCCACATTTCCTCAGTCAGATGCACCCCTGTGAGTCTTTGATTTGGAAATGAGGTGGGAAAACACGATGATTTTGGAAACTTGGAATTTTATCAGTACAGGTGGCTACAAACAACAACAACAAAAATACCTGTGGCAGCCATTCCCCAGTGGTTCCTAGAAGCAGTGACAGCAATGTCCTTCAGCATGGGGTGGGTAGCAGCAGCAATCTCAGACATGGTAGTCCTCATGAGTTCTTCTGCATGGTTCTGAGCTTTGTTTATGGAAGATTAGTCCGGGCCACTTCTCTAGTCCTCCCTAAAATTCCCTAAGCTATATATATATACAGTACCCTTCAGATATACCCCTTACCTGTGTAGTTTCCCAGAGTCAGCTTCTGTTGACCAGATCTATGGACCATGATAATAAAATCATCCCCTTACAAATCTCTCAGCTTCTCATATAGTCTAGAATGCATCCTAAACCCTTTACATAGCCGAAGGCTTATTATTTATTTTTTTTGGGGGGATGCATTCACTCTGTCATTTATTCTGGTCACACAGAGTCACTCTGGTCCTGCCACCTTTTCTCAATTTCATATTTCTTGCTATTAAAGAATCCTCCTGCAGAGCATCCCCCCTCGATGTATCTATCTGTATCATTAATGGGACATTTTACACGACTGCAAGAGTTGATTCACTCAGTTGTGAACTGCATGGGCAGGACTCTGTCTACAACACTTGGTATGTGATCTGTCACAAGCAGGCAATCAAGACGTTTAAGGAGTGAAGAGCAGGACACGGACAAGTGCTGCCACCTATGGAAGAAACTTTTAAATTTTTTTAAGTTGTAATTGGACTCAATTTTTAAATTTTATTTATTTATTTTTATGTGGTGTTGAGAATCCAACCCAGGGCCTCGCACGTGCTAGGCGAGCCCTCCCAGTCCCTATTGGAAGAAACTTTATTCAACTCTTATGAAGGCTTGGACAATGGTTCTGAGAACACAGATGAAATTTGATAATCTCTCTCATCTAAGTTGACCCTCTAAGTGTAGCCAGACTCCAGGATGGCCTCCAGTGATCCCATCTATGGCTAATCATGCCTTTGGGTTGATCCTCTCACACTGAAGGGCTGATTTGGCTATGACAGAAGCAAAGGTGACTTGAGGCTAGCCCATAAAAGATATTGTGGCTTTTGTCTTGGTTTCTCTCTTGGGTCACTTGCTCTGAGGGAAGCCAGCTGCCATGCTCTAGGGACACTCAAACAGCCATCTGGGGTGATGCATGTGGTGAAAACAGGTCTCCTGCCAACAGTCCTGTGAGCGAGGCATCTCAGAAGCTGATCCTGCGGCCCAAGTTCCAATTCTCAGATGACAGCAGCCCTGGCCTACATCTTCACCGTAATCGCACGAGACCTTGAGACAGCACTAGACAGCCACACCACCCCCAAATTCCTGAACTACAGAACCCGTGGGACAACAAACGTTTGCTGCTTCAGCTAGTAAGATCTGGGGGGCGACTGTCAAGCAGCAACAGATGACTAACGCACGGTCCAACCAGAGCAGCGACCACGGTGTTTTACGTCCTGCAACAGGACACACCCGGAGCTGCACTCAGCCTCACGCTTCTGAGGGCAGTGCCACGGGACACGGGGTAGGACCTGGTCCTCGGGGACTGGTGAGCGGTGCAGACCGCAGCATCCTTTCCGGCGCCAACGTCCCTCCAGCCACAGCGCAGCAGAAGCTTGCGGACGGCCCCTAGCTGCGGCGGACTCTGCGCCTGCGCAGTGCGCTTCGCGGCCCAGACCGCGTCGTCGCGCGCCGAGCCATCGATCGCAGGGGCCCCGCGGCAGGCTGGCGGCGCGGGCTCCAGGGGGCGCCCTGCCTGGAGCGGCTGAGAGCGGGCGTTCCAGAGACACGGCAGGAGGAGCGGCCTGCGCCCGCTGCACCTGAGCACCCCCAGTCAGCTGCGGCGGTCGCCGCCGCCCAAAGCCCCGCGGCCGAAGCGGGACCGCCGCCGCCATGAAGCTGCGAGTGCGGCTGGAGAAGCGGACCCGGCCGCTGGACGTGCCCGAGGCGGAGCCGACGCTGGGGCAGCTGCGCGCGCACCTGAGCCAGGCCCTGCTGCCCACCTTGGGGTACAGGTAGGCGGGCGCCCTGCGGGAGTAGCGCGGGGCGGGTGTGGCCGGGCGGCTCGCGGGCGCCGGACCGGGCGGTCACGTGGGGGCTGGCTCTCGGGGCGTCGCCGCCCGGGGGACCCGTGACTGTGACGCGCGAGGCCGGCGGGGCGCTGGGCCGCTGCGCGCCAGGCCGCTCGGGAACCATGGCCCAGCCTCCCGGGGGCGCCGGTCCCTTCCCGGGTAAGTAGCCGGCGGCGTCCGCGGAGCGGAACCGGGAGCCGGACCCACGGCGTGCACGCGGCTTGCGGGACTCGAGGCTGGAGGCGAGCGCGCTCGCGCCACCCTCCCGTTAGCCCGAGTCCTCCTGAGCTGCTGGGGTAGTTCAGTGGAAAAGTTCGCAAAGTTCTGCGCCCAGAGTGAACAGCCCGGCCCCCGTCGATGCCGCCCGCGCTTGTCCCCCGCTGCAGGGCGACCGTAGTGTTCAGCCTGTGGAGTGCGCGGGTGCCGCACCGGCGGGCTCTGACTCTCCCCCTGCACTTTAGCCAGGGAAGCGTGCAGGTGGGATTCAGGTCTGGGAGTTTTCCAGGGCGTGATGCACTTTTTTTTTTTTTTTTTTTTCCCTCCTCCTAACATGGAGGTAAACGTTGTCCTTGTCCCCGGAGAACTTGAAATTTGGGGCCGAGAGGTTGAGAAAGATCAAAATTGTCATGAACTTAATGGGGTTGAAGATGAAGCTGCTTTGTGTCCTTGGAGGATACGTCTGGGAATAATAAGAATCTGGGGGTAGAGAGGACGATGTAAGGATGGCCTCTCTTCAAATGCAGAACTTGTGAATTTGAAATTTTATTGTGCCCAGAAAAAAATATTCGCTGGGGCTTTTTAGGCGAATTTTTCAAAAGAAAACCTTTTGAAGAGTATAAAAATCTTTTATAAGAGTTGTACAAAGACAAAAAATGAGGTATTATAACTCCTTTGAAACATTATAGTCAATGATATGTTTATTGCTACTGCTTGGGGTCAAGCCTAAGTGTATGTGCTGGCATCATTACCCCACCAAGCATTTTTGAAGTTCTCTTGAAGATATGTGTGTGTGTGTGTGTGTGTGTGTGTGTATCTACATGTGTATGTATAGACATACATGTTTTGTTATTTTTTAAATAGGCAGGATAGTCTTAAAAGGATGTGTAACCTAAAAGGATATGACTGCTTGCACAAGAACCCAAGTTAGTTTCTCTTTCAGGTTTGTTTTTGCAGTTGAGGCTGGTTAACTGCCAGGAATTTAAGTTTCAGTTTGTGAAACTAAATTCATTCTTTTCAAAGTATTCATTTGTTAATAATGTGTTCATTTGATAAAAATATGACATGATTATTTTAAAGTGTCTTTACTGAGCAAGTGGGCTCAGAATTACTATAAAATATTTTTTAAAAGCCTGGAGTTTCATTTTTCTGCTAAAGTTAACCCCCCACCTCAGTTTCAGGAAATAGAATCTTGGAAAACTACATATAACTTTAGCAGTAGTTCTTCCCTTTTTCTAGAGTGGGAAGGAAAGTTGACATTTTTATTAGGCAAACCATTTTCTACAAATAGGTATTTAAATATACATTGTACTAGATACTGCTTGTAAAAAAAAAAACTCACCCTTTTGCAGTGACTAATGCAACACATTATTCATTTGAGGTGTTTTTTTTTTTTGTCAAAGTTGGAATGGTGTTTCATGGGCAGCTTGCAGATTTTCAACTTTTTGTTTATTAAAGCATTTAGAAAAAGCAGAGCCACTTGTGTTCTAATGAACAGGAATAGTTTCTACTTTAGTAATTTCTCTATCAAGAAAATGTATGTGAAAGAAAAAAATGAATTACTTTGGAGCAACTTTTCAACACATAGAATTTTAAGAAAAACAGAACTTGATTTTCAGAGGAGTACATCTTCTGTTAACCTCTCCAAAAATTAATCAAAATATCATTGCTAAGTGTAAATGTCTTATAAAATATTTTATAATGCTTTGGTAATTATGCCTCACCACTGTGTGATAAAAAACAATGGTATTCTTCCCAGGTCTAACAGTCCGTTATGCAGAATGGAGAGGTGTTCATTGATTTGTGCTTGGAGTTCTTATCTTGTGTAATAGTGGTTTTTGGGTTTGTGCTGTATTCCATATAAAAAGACTTTTTTGCTGATTATCAGTAGGAAGGATGAACCTTGTCTTTATTTAAAAAAAATATATATATATATTTAGTTGTAGTTGGACAAAATACCTTTATTTTTTTTTTTTAAATTTATTTTTATGTGGTGCTGAGGATTAAACCCAGTGCCTCACATGTGCTAGGCAAGTGCTCCACCACTGAGCCAGAACCCCAGCCCTAAACCTGTACTTTATATCAGTAGAAGGATGGATTTGTAACCAGTTATTTACATACATTCATCTAACTTTTTATGGTTATGAATATTTGGGGCATGGTTTGGTATTTTGGTATCAATGTAAGCATATTGTTCTGTAAGCACATTGAATAGGCAGCCATAATTTTATCATCATCCCAGTCTTCCAAACTCATATTTGGTGGTGTGTCCATTCCATAAATACTTCATTTGCCAAGAGCTGGATGTACAATTTCAAACTAGATACAGGAGATCCCTGATCTGGATCCTTTTTGGTTCATAAGCGTGGTGATTGGGTGTTCATGCTGTTGTGTGAGATGTGCCTCCCTCTAAGCCTGTTACGAAGTTGGCCTGTTAACCCGTCTGACATGGGAAAAAAAAAAAAACATCCCTGATCTTCTGAAACTTGAGTTCTAGTGGTAGGTGTGGGGAAGACGGAAGATAGACAAGTAAAGGCCTTGTTTTTATACAGTGGTGTTGCAGTAAAAATAAAACTTGAGAATGAAATAGAGAGTGCTGTAGACTGGGTGGAAACCTTTTCTGAAGTGACCTTTGAGCTGAGCCCTTAGTGATGAGAAGGAGTCAGTCATTTTAAGATCTGGAAAAGCTAACCAGAGGCCCAAAGGCTGCAGTGAGTTGATCTACTCTTCTGAGTGGCTGGGTGGAATCTTGTGAGAGAGCTCAGTGAGAGAGAGAATGAATGGCACAGGTGTGGTGGTGCGGGGGGGTTGGGTTTTGGAAGCCATGGTGAGGATTTCATTCAAGTTCAGGTCGGAACCATTGGAGGGTTTTAAGCAGAGGAATGATGTGATCTCATTTATGTTTTAGAAAGAGTATTTCATTGAATTTATTTGTAGCCAATTATAAGACACATTGCTTTACTTAACACTAAGGGGAAAATGCTGTGAATTAAACTAGTATGTCATTGCTTTTGAGAAGCATCCCAATTTCAAAGATGTCAAAATATAAAAAACTATGTATCTTAGAATTGTTGAAAACATGTATTGATGGTAGGGAAGTAGGCTTAAGTTTTAGCCATTAGAAATCTATAATCTAGAGTCATGCCATATACCTTATATATATTCCAGCTGTATCATTTAGGGTGGTGGTAATAGGTAGCTCTTACTATCCTTATCCGTCTTTCTTGGCAGTTCTGATACCCGATTTGCAATTACATTGAACAACAAGGATGCCCTCACTGGAGATGAAGAGACCTTGGCTTCGTATGGGATTGTTTCTGGGGACTTGATATGTTTGATTCTTGAAGATGCCATGCCAGCACCTAACTTACCTTCATCCACAGATTCAGAGCATTCCTCACTCCAGAATAATGACCAACCCTCTTTGGCCGCCAGCTCCAGTCAGGCCAGCGTACCTGATGAACAACGGAATGATTCATTCCAAGGACAGGCAGCCCAATCTGATGTCTGGAATGACGACAGTATGGTGAGTATAAAAGACAAAGAGAGTAAAGTAGTTGATAAATTGTTGACGCCTCAGCTAACTTCTGTGCTAGTGGGTGTAGTTGGCATCAGTATGTTGCAAATCACGTTCTCATAGAACATTTTCTTTTTAACTTCTAAATACCTGGACCAAGGTATTTGGGCTGGCATTCTGAAGTACCTAGCTTTGCTCCAAGTATTTTGTTCAAGTACTTACTCCTTCAGATCAATTATCCTTTGGTTTCTGTCACTGTCTCTAAGCTTAGGGTGCCCAGTTTTTCTTCTCTGTTCTATTCCAAGGATATGTAATGTTCTGAATTAGGAAAATCATCTGTGTCCAGATATTTGGATATCAGTTTATTTTAGAAGAGTTATTTCTGCCTTATGCAGGTAATCTGGGGGAATGAGTAAGGATATTTAGCTACATATTTAAATTACATTTCTGAGTCTTTTTTTTTTTTTGCTGATAGACTCACTCAGAGATAACTTTAGTAGAAGGGCAATTCCCTTTAACTTCTGTGTACTTTTTAAAATAGTTCATCTTTATAGGATATGTGATAGTTACTACTTTCCCTTTGAAAATTTTTGACAAATTAATGTTGCCACAAGCTAGTAATTTCTTAAAATCACATTATTTTGTATTCTAAGGTTTGTATAGGGTAACTGTAAAATTGTAGCAAGAAAACTGAGCTTGATGCTTTAAGTCCTTGAAGCAGTATGATCTGCTAAGTAAATGTGGAAGGGAACATTAAAAAGGGAAGTAACACAGATGAGTAAAACTTGAAACCAAAGGAGGTGAATTTTATAAATTAATTCCTCAGTTCATTGCATTTGGTCATTCATCCAGTACCTGGTCTTTAAGGAGAAACGGGGATAATACATATCAGAGCTGAATGCTGTTCTAATGCAGTTTGGTTACTGCTTTCTATGTCTTGTAAATGATCTGTGGCAAAATGGTCTGTGTAGATGGTGTTAGTGTTTTCTTCATGTCCACCCATGGGAAGGACATGATAAACACACTCCTATCAGAATGGCTCAGAGGATGGCAGTTGGAGAGAGGAGTTAGGAGTCAGGCTGATAAGCCCATGGGGAATTCAGATCTCTCACATGTAGTTTTCAGCTTAGTGTAACCCTTTGTTAATTTTCCAAATATATTCTGTCTCACAATACTGTGAGTAGCAAGTGGCCCAAAGTTAGACATTATGTTAAAAATAAGCTCTTATTTTTCATAATTTAGCTTCATGTTAAGTGGTTTCTGTTTGCTCAAAAAAAAAAAAAAAGAAAGAAAAAAAAAATCCCAGACAGGGTTGTGTGCATATGTTTTATGTAGACAGTGTGAATTGTCATTGGCCTCTGGGCTTCAGCAAGTGGATTTGGATCGTTCCACAGTAGGGCTTAGATCCTCAGAGATTTTGGAATAATGGCTGTCACTCTGGCTCCTTATATTCCTCCAGTCTTTCACTCACACTGTGCCCTTTAATGCAAATGTAAACTGAAGAAGAAGAAATCTTATTTGCATTTAGAATTGAGCACAAGCCTAGGAAATGAGATTTCTGAACAGAATTTAATATGATAATTATTGAAGTATGTATTGCATATAAGAGCCTTAGACGGTGAGTCTGGGGATGTGGATTGGTTTCAAATTTTTACTAGCTGGCTACCTTGATTGTGTTATATAATATTTCTGCATTATATCATCTATAAAAAGGCATTATCATCTGTCTTGCCTAATTTATAGGATCATTGTAAGGCACAAATGAGAAAACACTTTGAAATCAAAAACATTATGCAGTTGTGAGATGTCATCCTCTAACATCTGTTTGACAGGCATTTATTGAGTATATTACTATGTGTCAGGTACTGTGTTGGGGTTACATAATGGGTGACTTGTGGTCTGATCCTAGAAGAAAGTGAATGCAGGATGGGTGAGGGAGCAGGGGATGAAGGGCCTTCTTTGCTAAAGAGTTTAGGAATTTTGATTTAATTTCTGTAGACTTGCATTTCTCGGTGTGTCCTCTATGAAAAGCATGTTTTATGGGATTTTAAGTGTCACAGGGATATTGAGGAAGGACAGTGTGTCTTGGTTAAATGTTACACATTGCTGTTATTTTTAGACTTCTCAGAGCTTTTATAATACTGATGTATTTTATGAATATGGTGAGTGAGGTTAGCTGACTGTAGCTTGGAGCATTTTCCATACTTATTTGATTGTGCACTGACTTTTTTCCTAAGAATGTCAAGGGGCACCAACTAAGGCATGATTGAGGGAAATTCTGGTGCCTGTTTTGGGGAAATACTGGTGAGTTTTAAACTGGGACATAGGACATGATTGGATTTTTAATGGCCAAGAAACTGGCAGCAGTGGGTAGAATGTACTAGAAGACAGAATGTGGAGGCAGGAGGAAGCTGCTGGAAGTCAGGAGACAAGAATGAGAGGATGTTCCAGTGGAGTGGGAGGGGCAGCTCGTGGAGCCGCTCACAGTGAGTGTACTGGTTTGGGGTGGGTTAGTGAGGTGGAGGGAGGACTCAAGGATGACTTCTAGGGTGTCTTGGCATGTCAGCCAGAATTATTGCAGTCACAGGACCTGGGGTGGAGGTTAGGTTCCAGGCTCACTTCTTCATGAGGGCTCCCTTAAAATGTCATCTGTTTCTAAACCCAGTGTTGTGCTTTGGCTTTGAGCCTAGGATGCAAAGTGTATTGTATAAAGATAAGTATTTTGAATGAATTCTTTTTCCTTATCCTCTTCAGTCAGGGCCTAGTCAAGCCTTTGAAGCTGAGTCAACCCAAGATGTCGTGGATATGGAGGAGGGCTCAGGCTTCTGTCCCTCAGAACCCATGCTCTGCAGCGAAGCCACGGAAGGGCAGGTGCCACATTCCTTAGAGACCTTGTACCAGTCGGCCAGTTGTTCTAATGCCAGCGATGCCTTGATAGTGTTGGTCCATCTCCTCATGTTGGAGTCAGGGTACATACCTCAGGTAGGTGCCACTAGCAGCACCCACACACCTCATGGGTGTGTGTCCACTGCATCAGTAAACGTCACCAGGGCGTTGTAGTGTTCAGGCTTCTTTATTTAATGGGGTTGGATATTGAGCATAATTGTCGAACACGGTGATAGGCATTCAGTAAATGTGCCCTTCCCTCTTTTCCTTCCAATTTTTTTTGATTCTTCATTTCCTTTTTCAGTATTTAATATTGCAGAGGTAATAGTAACTATAGTTTAAAAAAGACAAAACATTATGTATGATAATATGTGGATTAAGTGGGGCACTGAGTGTGGGTTGGGTGTGCCTACACAGCTGGTTATTTTTTATGTTAATGGCTTTATGAAATGCCAGTAATTTAATATGACTGAGTTAGGAAGAGAGACATTGTTCTTATGTTGTAGTTGCTTATCTGTATTCGCTCATCCATTTGTTAACCGATAAGCATCTACTGATGTCAGGTGCAGGCTTTGTCCCTGCTCTCTGATTGCTCATACAAGTGGGTGATCCCTCTTTGCAAGTTGCTCAGAGTCTGCAAGTGGCAGAGATAAGCAAGCATATAAACTGTAATATGGTCTGGGTTAAGTTTTAGGAGAGACATGATGTATATGGGATGCCAGGGATCACAGAGGAAAACATTTTAAAAGTACAGCTTCTCAAACTTTAATGTGCTAAAGAATGTCTGGGGTCCCATTAGAACACATATTCTGACTCAGTAAATCAAGGGTGAAGTTTGAGCTTGCATACTCCTGCACATGCCCAGGCTGCTGGCCCCTGGGCCACGTGGTGGGTTTCAAGGTGTGGTCATTCACAGATCCTTCACACACGTGGTGTGCTGTGTACTGGGCCAGGAATTAGAAAATCAAAATATTGAACACCCCTGTGCTCAAGTCCATAAATAGATGAAAGAGATAAATAAAAGGAATTATAATATAAATAACAAATAAATTGAGAACATAATAAAACTATATAAAAATACAAACAGAATGTGAGGGAATGACAGGTGTTTTGAAAAGGGCTTTACAAAGGAAGCGATATTTGAACTTGGGATCTTGAATAATGCCTGCTTTGCTGAGGGGAGAAGTGTCTTTGAAGAAATTAACCCTTATTTCTATGATGTTATTTTACCTATTCAAACAAAAATTTTAATAGAAAAATGTTACAATATTCTGTTCTTCATTAATGGTAGGATTACTGATGGGGGGCACATTTTATTAAGGGAGCTGTAAGGAAGGCTCATTTTTAAACAAGTTAGGGGTCTTTTGGATCTTTAATTTTTTTGAGAGTAATGCTTTTCTTCATTGTTCATTTTCCTTTTATTTTTATTCCTCAGGGGACTGAAGCCAAAGCTGTGTCCATGCCAGAGAAGTGGAAGTCGAGCGGTGTGTACAGACTGCAGTACACACACCCTCTCTGCGAGGGTGGCTCTGCCGCACTCACCTGCGTGCCTTTGGGAAACCTGGTCATCGTCAATGGTACCTGGATGGCACAGTCATGGTTGCTGGTTCATGAATTAAGTACAGAGCTTAGGAACTTAGTGTGTTTCTCTTCTGAGTCACTTCAGTGATTGGTGATCATGATGTAATTGAATCTCTCAGCTTTCTTTAGTTTCTAGACCAACGACAACATGTGTCTGAGAGATTATAGAACCTGAGATTGATGTGTAGGCCAGCCTCCTTCAGTCTTGGGGCAGCCATGCTCTTTTGATATCTTCACCTTTGCTTTGGGAGCAGCTGTGATAACAGGAGTAAGATGAGTCATATGAACTCTTCCAAGAATATTTTTCTTTTTTTATGCTTGTCGCATATGGCTTTACTTTATATTTTTAATGAAAGTTTTGAACTAGGCTGGTGAGATTGGGCTGAGGCCCCTCTTCACACAGTTTGGCATCTGTGTGACCAGCAATGCATAGAAACACTGCTAAGAGTTCTGAGACTTTAGTGTGTATGTTTTTCCTTCCCTTTTCCCCATGAAAGTTATTCTGAATGAACAATTTTTTAAAAAGTTCTCCTCTTTCATTGAGAAATCTCATTGAGAGACAGTACATTCCTTCTTGTATTTCATTTTAGCTCACATGCCACGTGGGTCCATACCGGCTTCCAGTATTCTCTGGGATTGTCTCATTATCACACAATCTGGGGGTTCATTTGAGTGACCAGGATTTTTTACTTTTATTCTGTTTTCTTTTTGAGGTTTGTCCTTTTAGCTGGTTAAGATGGTATGTAAGATTGGAATGACAGCATTTTTATTTGTTTCCCGTGTTTGAAAAAATGTAGGCATTAGGATGACCATCAGCATTTTGTCAACAATTCTTCACAGTTGGCCTTCACAGTTAGCCTGTGGAGCTCTTAGTTTGACATTCTTACTCGCAGAGCTTCAGTAGCTTCTGCCTTTATCTAAATGTTCTGCTGTGCACATCACGGTTAAAGTTACCAAGTAGTTAATGTGAAGTTGTAATTTTTTGCCTCAATTTCTTAAGAAAGCACTTAATGACATGCATATAATAACCTCTGATTTCTTAATTTATGATTAATTTCTTATTCCGATGTTTTGTGCCTTCATTGTTCTTGGCAATTGGCTACTTGAAGGCTTGTGTGGCAGCCAGCCATTCCAGGCTTGGTACTTTGAAAAGGAACAGTGTCCTTAAGTCTCTCCTCACCCAGGGCAGCCTGCTTGGTGCACGTGTGCGTGAACACATTACTGGCTCTTTCATGATGTAGATGAAGTGCGCCTTTGTATGCACGATTAAAATTGAACCCTGTGGTGATGTCAAGAATATTGGTCCTTTGGGCCTAGAGTGTGATGATGCTGTGAAAACTAGCAGGATTCTTTTAATGAACAAGGATAGAACCATTGCCAAGGATTAAATTTTAAAAAAAGAAGAATGTTGTTTTTAGTGACTGCATTAGAAATAATGGTTTTATTGTGTTTGGCTTTCTCCTATTGACCTTGTTGCATATCTCTCAATTGCTAATGAGCGGCTGTTGGTGATTCTTAGTGGGCTGTGTATAAAGATGCTTACTGTAGTTTTAAAAGGTGGTGTATGAGGGTGAATTCACTTCATGCAGGTTTACACTTTTGACCTTGCAGTGGGAGAAAGAAATAGGTGTAGAGCAGTTTGTTTTATATAATGTGTCCTTAGTGCTTGTGGGCAAGGAAATGCAGGCCTGTCTTAAAAAAGGAAGGCGATTGATAAAGTGACATTTAAAAATCATATTTCTTTTGCTTATTTATAGCTACACTAAAAATCAACAGTGAGATTCGAAGTGTGAAAAGATTGCAGCTGCTGCCAGAGTCCTTTATTTGCACAGAGGAACCAGGTGATGTAACTGTGACTTGACATGGGTAAAGCTTTGAGAAGTTCACTTTAGAAAAACCTAGAAAGGTAATGTTCAAAATAAGCTAATCCCACAAAGCCAAAGGCTGAATGTTTTCTCTAATATGCGGATGCTAATTCGCAATAAGGAGCAGGGGCACTAGGGAAGAGTAGTGTTACTTTAGATTAGGTAGAGGGAAGTGATGGGAGGGGAGGGGAGGGGATATGGGGATAGGAAAGACAGTAGAATGAAACAGACATTATTACTGTATGTATATATGTGACTGCATGACCAATATGATTCTGCAACATGTACACTCAGAAAAATGAGCAATTATATCCTATCTATGTATGATATATCAAGTGCATAAATGCATTCTGTTGTCATGTGTAACTAATTAAAACAAATAAAACAATTTAAAATAAAAAGACTGAAACTTTTAAATGAGATTAAGATGACAGGAGATTGTTCATAATGTCTTTGATTGAACATAGAACTTGGGCATTAGCTGAATTAAAAATCTAATGTGAGATTAGACCAGTATTAACCTTGTTTTTTTTTTCCTTTTTATTAACTCCCCTGAGGAGTGTTTGTAAATTTTTTTTCCTCTTTTTCCTTAATTGCTCTCCTCCATTAAGCTTTAATACCACAAATATACTATGACCCTTTGGAAGGTCACAAACCCTTATAGAGCTAGGGTATTGTTTGCTCTCCAGAACCAGGTTTTGTTCCCTTGGGGGCAATCTTGAATTGGATGCATGAACTAGACTGATGAATCTATAAAGGTGCCTTTCTATTAGAATCATAAAAACTTGAAATTCCTTGGCTGTATCACTATATTCATCTCTACTAGGGAGGACTTTGGTATGGAAGAAGTACCCTACACTCTACAGTAATTTTTTTATGACAATTTGATAGGTCAGTAAACAGGTCTAGAGGAGATTAAGTTGCTTCACAGGTATAGACCTAATAAATAGGGGGATTTAGAATTGGAATAGATACATCTGGCTGCTATAATTTTAAAAACAGCTTCTGTAGAGAATCTAGCTCAGATTCTTCTTAATCTTATTTCCCTTATGGAAAAAGGAAATGGAGGCAGAAAGTTAATACCTTTATATAATTTTATGGACTATTTCAATTAAGTATTTAAATTTTTTTTTTTTAGTTGTAGATGGGCACAATGCCTTTATTTTTATTTGTTTTATTTTTATATGGTGCTGAGGATCGAACCCAGAGCCTCACCCTCACTAGGCGAGTGTTCTACCACTGAGCCACAACCCCAGCCCCTAATTAAGTATTTTTAATAAGGTGCTTTTATGTTGGGTAGAGATTTGCTGTTTGGCAAGTCATTTTAATGAATTTTACTGTGGGTTATAGTGTAGACCCTAGTAACTTTCTGTAAGTACTGTTATTGGACCTTTTAAGTGCCTAATTATTTATAAGATAGGTTGCTAAAGGAAAATACTGAAAGAAAATCAGTTTCACACTTGAGGAAAGGCCTTGAAACAAGCTTATTTTTAAAATGAGGTCTGGACATTAGATTTCAGACTTGAGATTGCAGGTTCACATGGCAAAGATTTAGAGTTTAACTGCATCTATTTCCTTGTGCTTGTGAATCAATTGATAAGTAGCATGTTGCTATAGATAGTGAAGTACATAGACATGGGTGGGAAGGGAGCAGGCAGGTGCTGTTGGTGTATTATGCACTGTGTGTGGAGCTTTCCATTTTAACAACTCTTCCCAGGTAGTGGTGGTCTCTTCCTTAAACAGGTGAGAGTTTGATAGGTAGGTAATTTGTTCCAAGTTGTACAGTTGGTAAATGGCAGAAGTAGAGTGGGGACCTCGGGGCAGTTTGGTGTGCTTCCACACCTTACTGTACTTGTGGATCCCCTGGGATCTTATTGAAATGTGGGTTCTGATTGGGCAGGGCTGACATTGCCTGGGTGATGCCAGTTCTGTGGGTCCATGGGGTAAGTTCTGTGGAGCTAGACACCCTTAGGTTTGTACTCTCCCTGCTCTGCCACTCACTGTGGGGCTGTGGACAATGCTTATTGTACTTTGTTCTATTTTTAAAATGGGAATAATAGTATCTGTCTTTTTCTTAGGGGAGAATTGCTGATGTGAGAAAGGCTCAAAAAAATGCTTGGCACTGCTGATACCTAGTCATCATGGGATAAATACTGTTATTTTACTAAGCTCTGAGCTCCATCAGAGCAATTCCCTGCTGTGTGCCCAGGGTCCAGAACGGATTGGTGGACAGTCTGGAAATCCCTGCTTTATGTGTGAATCTCACACAGCAGTTTTCTCTGTGGTCATAGCCTAGGAGCTAGTGGGCTGGGCACAGCTCTGGTGATTTGATTTGGGAATTTTAGCTTTACCTCTGCGATCTGTTTTAATCAGTCATGCACTCTGCCTCTTTCTCAACTAGGGACTTTGGTTGCTGTTTATCTGTGAAGGAATTACTTATGAATATTGTTTACCACCTTGATTTGGTGGATACAGAAGACAGACGTCATTTCAAGTTTTTCCACTTGAAAACACTTTTTGTGTTTTGATTTTTATTTTCTAATAATCTTCTAGGGGAAAATGCAGCCAAAGTGTACAAAGACCTTCAGAAGCTGTCCCGCCTCTTCAAAGACCAGCTGGTGTACCCTCTTCTGGCTGTCACCAGGCAAGGTGAGGAGCGGTGAGGAGTCGCCCCAGTTTAAGACTGGGAACAGCAGTCAGGGGACATGGTATGCTTGGTGACTCTGATGTCTCCCTTCTCTCTTTTCCCCTACTGAAAGTTTCTCTTAAGACTGGGCTTCAGTTTACATCTTCAGTGGTATTACGTCCTTTGTGTGTATTTTCGTAGCATTTTGTCTGTTTTATTATTGTAGCTTTTTACAGTGTGTCGTAATTGTGTGATTTCTTTCCTTGTAAGGTTGTGAATGGAAAGTAGAGGTAAGTCTTACTCACTTTGGCATTCCATGGTTTAGCACAGATCCCCAAAAGTGTTCAGGAAACACACAAATAACATTAATAAATAGCTTGTACATTGGGCCTAAGTTTTTTGTTTTTGTTTCTTAAGCCAACATTGACTGGGGACTCTGTCCAGCACTTTGTCAGATGTTTACAAGCTGGTGGATATTTAGTGCTAGTAACATTGAAGTAGATTTTATTACACTTGCTTTATGGATGACAGTATCGTGATTCTGTGAGATTTATAGTTCAGTCAAAAGCCTTGTTATTCGTTTTCTCTTATTTGTGTTGCAGTAAAAAATATTTTAAAACTCTTACTCACTTAAAGTGAGCATTTTTGTTAGTCGTGTGCATGTGGTGTGTGGTTTGCTTTCTCTCGAGGCGTGGTCTTTAGCCAGGACATGCTCTCCCTGGGGCAGTGGGAACAGCGAGCAGTGGCCCAACACTGTGTGGGGTCTTAAAGCTTTGGCCCAGAAATGAAGGGTCACTTCCGCTCACATATCACTGGACAGAGTAAGTCAAAAGGGGCCAAACCTGATAGTAGGGGCCCATGGAAGTCTAATCACGGTGGGAAGTAGTTGAGAACCAGCATACGATTTACCACAGTCCTTCAGCTGGTAAGGAGTTTCGGACTTGCACAAACAGATACGTAAGCTTTATGTACTATTTATATGTTGAGAAATAAATATTTTTGATTTCAAGCTGCATGGTGCCCTGGCTATTATTTTCTTCTTTAGTTGGTGATGAGAGAATTTGAAATTTGAATTTGAAAACTCTTGTTTGTTGGGTTTTTTGTTTTCTTTGCTAGTACAGACTAGCATTGTAAATATTGCAGAGGAGCTAGTATAGGTTGAACATCCCCAGGTCTGAAAGTTGAAATCTGAAATACTAAAAAATTGGAAACAAGACCTTCAAAAGGTTTTGGATTTTGGATTTTTGGAATAGGGATGCTTGATCAGTGAAGTTTGTGGAAATATTCTAGGATCAAAAAAACTGAATTCTAAAACACTTCCAGTCCCAAGCATTTCAAATGAAAGATACTTGATTTGTAATTAAAAAAATAATTTTCTTTTGACATTGGTACATATTCTTCTTTGTTTTCCTTTCTTGGCTTTGCTTCTGAATTTCTCTATCTTCCTTTTTCTTTAGCCTGCTAAATGTCAGATAATAGTTATTTCTAACTCTTGAGTGCTTGTGATACACCAAATGTTTTCTAAACATGGTGCTATTTATGCATTTAATTTTCACAACATGGTAAGGTAGGTGCTAGGTAATACTACCAACCCACTGTGCAGGAAATTGACTTAGTTTCACTTGTCCTGAGGCACAGAGCTGGTAAAAGGCAGGGGTGGCGGGGGTGGAACCATTTCTGAAAAGCCAGTGGGTTGTCCATTCACTGCAGCTGAATAGAGGGATTTTATTGCAGTGAATATTGCTGGAGGCAGAATAAGCCAGTGGCAAGTATTTAGCAGTTGACCCTGATATTTATTTAATCTGTATTAAAAAGTATATGTCTTTCTGCAAAATGTAAAGGGAGTGAGGAGCCTAGAGTTGTGTGAGTTCGTGGTAATAGAGTCAGGTGGGGTTAAAGATGTGTGTGGAGGATGCGTACTGGGATAATCGAGAATGACTAGTCTGTCACTGCTTTAGAAAGGAACAGGTGGCAGCTTTTGTGTGGGGAAAACCTGGATGCCCTTGGCTCAGTGTACCTGCTGCTTCTCTCTTCTCTTTTAGCCCTGAACCTTCCAGACGTGTTCGGGTTGGTGGTCCTCCCATTGGAACTGAAGCTGCGGATCTTCCGACTCCTGGATGTTCGCTCTGTGTTGTGTCTGTCTGCAGTCTGTCGGGACCTCTTTATTGCTTCAAGTGACCCGCTGCTGTGGAGGTGTCTGTACCTGCGGGACTTTCGAGGTGATTTCCGTGCGGCCCTGTTAGCTTAGGAAGAGGGTCTTTCTCACTCTGGCTGTCAGGGCCAAGGGTACTTGGCTTTGCCAGATGGTTTTTTTTTTTTGTGTTCTCAGCAACACAAATAACCCCTTAGACTCAGTGTATTATTTGAGGATAGAGAAGTGAAAGTAAGACAGGTTTGTTCTCTAAAGCCCCCCTCAGCGTCTTGGAAATGAGCTGCGCTTCTTACCCAGTCAGTGGTTGAGGCCTGTTTGTAGTTAGGGAGCTGCTCACCATTGACACGCTAGGGCAGTGCCAGGTCCATATGGTCACACTGATGTGACCTGGTGATCATTTTGGTGGTGGCGATGACATTAGAATCTGTTTACCAGGTCAAGGCCAAAAGCCTGCTCGTGGCACTTCTTTCTGGTGCCTCTCAGTGTGTTAGTGCATGTTGGTGTCTTTCAAACTGTTTGGCCCTCGAGGGAGTCATGATGTCAACTTAATGTCATTTACAGAAATACACGCACCAAAACAAAGCAAAGCCACAATAGAAAAATCAGTATTTTTTATAAATAGTATCTGTTTATAAAATAGAAATAGACTCCTATTTAGTTATGTTTTTGTAGGTGTAGTCTCTGTTGCAGTGCAAAATACATCTTGTGATTCATACAATAAAAATGGATGATAAGATTTAGCATGTCATCTCAGCAACTAAACATCTGGGGCTAGAAGCCTTTTTTTAAAAGCAGGATACCATATGTAGTCATTTGGACTATTAAAATTTTTGGTTTTTTTCTTTTAAAACTTCAAAATGTGGCCAGTGTGCGTGCCCTGGTTTGTTCCTTTTCCTTCTCCCTGTCACCTACTCTTTTCCTTCTCCCTGTTCCTACTCTCCTGAATCTAAAGTCTAAAATGCTATTTTGTCATAATTGTCAGCAAATATCATTTTTAAAAGTTTTTAAAAATATTTTAATAAAAAAATAAAGACAAAGTGATGAGCACATCTGGAGAGTGGATAAGGATCACAGGTTGTGACATGCAACAAAGGACAGACGCCCTTCCATGCGTGTTGCAGTCTGGGTTTCCAGGGGGATCCAGCTCTCTCATTTCCAGATTGTACTCACAGGCTCCTCCACCAGCTGCATGTCCCTGTGGACAAGTGTTGCAGAGTTGGAGCCTTGACTCTGACTTCTGTGGTTGCAATAATTGGTAGAGAAGACATCGCCATCTTTAATCCAAACTCTTCCGTAGTCCTAAAGTTGGTTGGTATCTTCTGTCCTCATGTCACATATAAGATATAAGCACACAAAAAAGATTTAATTGTGCTCATACTTTTGGTAGTTGAAATCATTCTTTGTGGTTGGGAGGAAATAATCTAACCCAAATATGGAAGAAAGCCTAAATCAGCTTGCCCTGCAGCAAAGAATGAGGATTATGATAGGAACCTTGTTTGGTGCAACAGGGGGAGCAGCTGGCACACCTGGATGAGGCTGGAGAGGACAGTGTGCATGTGACCGGTTGAAGGGTGGGGCGGCCACATGACCCTCCAGAGTCCTTGGGATCACAGTGGGAATTACCACAGTGCACTGGGCAGTGACAGCCGCCCCCCCCCCCCCCCCCCCCCCCCCCCCCCCAGTGCTATTGAGAAAGGGTTTGAATTAGTTTCAGGAAAGGAATGATGTGTTATGCAAATGTCCCGTGTTCCTCTTTATGCTAAATGGGTAAGTTTCAGTTTCTTTAGGACAAAAACAAATGATGTTTAATCCAGATGAATGAAATGTTTTAATTCCTCATTTTTTGTTTTACTTTCTAGATAGTACTGTCAGAGCTCGAGACACAGATTGGAAAGAGGTAGGTATTTTTAAATATCAAGGCCAGTGTGCTTGACCCAGAAGTATCCAGTAAACTAATGCATCAAGAGTATATTTTCATTTTTATTATGATGTAATGAAACCTAGCTTCAAAAATGAAAACGTTTTCAACTTTTACTTTAGATGTAGTTCTTGTGTTCCTGTAATTATACAGAAAAGAAATTTTTTTTAATTAAAAATTTATTTTTTAGGTGTAGATGGACACAACACAATGCCTTTATTTTTTTTTTTAATGTGGTGCTGAGGATCAAACCGGGTTCTGCCCGTGCTAGGGGAGCACTCTACCACTGAGCCACAATCCCAGCCCCAGAAAAGAAATCTTAACAAAAAGCCTAAGATTGCTTTCATCTTTACATAAAACATTCTTGCTTTGTTGCAAAAAATAATTTGAGTTGTTGTCCTAGAATAACCTTAACCATTTAGCTAGTTAGCATAGTGTATTGTGCAAAGAACAAACGATATTGATATTGTTTTATTTGCACGTGATTACTATAAAATACTTTGATAAGACTGAGAAAAATTCTTTAGAATGAAGGACTATTATTATTATTATTCTCTATTCACCACTCATCGGGTGAATAGAGAAGAATAAAATTCAGTGAAAGTTCTCAAATATGTAAAAAACAGTACTATTATTTAGGATATGTTCCATACTCAAAAATAGGCACTTATTTTGTATTTTAAGTGGAGGTCCATTGGGGATGTAATTTAGGTGAAAAAAATGAATTAAGTGCTGCCCCTCATCCTTCCAATACCTGACTTTATGTTTTGTGGCATGTCATTTTAAACACATATTTAAATTTCCCATTTTCACAAAAAGCTGACCTACACTTGCGTATCAGCTGGGAGCTCTGAAAAGAATGCCACTCACTTGCCCTCTTTGGATTCACTGTGACCTCAGATTAGCCCAGTGGCTCAGTTGCAGTGGTGTTCAAGAGCAGAACTCACTTGGTGCTGCGCTGAGCGGGGCTGCTGCCCTGTCTGCAGAGACACGCTGGCCTCAGCTCTCCTGCGCACTGCTGTCTGCCTGGACGGTGTGGGGAGGAGGGTGGGGAACGGGTGGACGCTGATCAGCTTGACTGCTGGGGAAACATCTAAACCACTTACCATATCTTCTTCTTTTTTTTTTTTTCTTTCTGTAGTTATACAGGAAGAGGCACAAACAAAGAAAAGAAGCTCAGAGAGGGCGGCATGTGATGTTCCTGCCGTCCTCGCCCTACCCCATCCCATTCTATCCCAGCCCCTTGCACCCCTTCCATCCCAGCTCGCTGCTTCCTCCAGGAATCATCGGTGGTGAATACGACGAAAGACCCACACTTCCCTATGTCGGGGACCCTATCAATTCACTCATCCCGGGGCCCGGGGAGACACCTGGCCAGTTCCCTCCACTCAGACCACGTTTTGATCCAATTGGCCCACTTCCGGGACCAAACCCTATCTTGCCAGGGCGAGGGGGGCCCAATGACAGATTTCCCTTCAGGCCCAGTAGAGGTCGGTCACCTGACAGCCGGCTGTCATTCATGTGATGGTTTGCAATCTCACTCTGAAGCTCGACTGGTTTTGTTTATGTGTTTTAAAGCTGCAGATGCCGTCTCCCTGGGGTGCCGATCTCTAGTGCTGATTCTGAACATGTGGTGAGAGTTGCACTCCCAGAGCTTTCTGTGTTGACAGCTTCAGGGGTGGTGTGGCCCGAAGGCTGCTCTGTGGAAAGGTTGGCCACAGGAATAGTTGGCTACTGATTTCCCTGATCTGGATTCCTCTCTAGAACGGAGTTGTTATACTGATAATGTGCAACAGATTAAAAAACCATCTAAGTTACATGGCTATCTTGACTTCTTTTACAGAAAGATATAGAATAAACATTTAGAACAAGTGCACAGTGTAACTTGGATATTTTAAAAGTATCAAAGAACCTACTGAGTTAAGCAGATTATTATTGCAGGGAATTTATGTTTCTTTTCTTTTTCTTTTTTTAAAGTGGTCTTCCTTAAGTGAAAACTGAATTTATAAAATCAATAAAAGCAAAACTAGTTCTGTTAAATTTGGGCTGGGTGCGCACTTTCCCTTTCTCTGTAGCTCTTTCAGGTTATGGTGGAACTTCTGGGCGCTGAAACAGCCCTGGCTGAACACTGCTGGCTTATGGGGATTCTTGGTACTGGAGCCGGCTGGAGCGAGGTTGTAGAGACTTCTCTCCCCTCATGTTTTGAACACAGTAGCTTTATTTATAATCTAAGTAGATGTCTTCTTTTTACAACAGTTATGCTTTGAGTGCTGATCAGCTACTTGCTTTTCAAAGATAGCCTCTTATTTGAAGAACATTTGAAGAATATTTGCTTTTACACAAAATTCAAGGTTTATTTTTCCTACAATGAGAAAAAGGCCAAGCACAAGTGACTTATCATATATATATACAAACAACCATAGAAACATGCTATAGACACGGATTAAAATCTGAATCACAATAGGAATAAAACATGAATAGCATTTGCAGAAAATATTTAGGAATATTGCCAATGTCTTCCTGCTTTTTTAAAAATCTGTTTTGCATATAAGGAGATGGCTTGGAATGTTATGTGCTGCAAGAATATTTTGAGTCATATCACAAGCGAAACTTTTTTTTTTTTTTTTTTTGCTACACATGTACATTGAGTCTTTTTCCATCACAGTGAAGAAAGTCCAGTCAATATGATTTTCTAAAAGCCACAAGACCTTTAGTAGCTTAATGTATGAAAGCGGATCAGGGCTGTTGACTTTTCTTTCTGTGGTATTTTGTAATATCTGAGGTACAGGTCAGTCTTTTTAAAATGAGTTTCTGCTAGATGCCATATGGCTTTTTTCGGTGGGGAGAGGGTCTTGGCTAAAAGGGTCACCCCGAAGCTTTTATGGGCCCAGATATATTCTAATGCTCTGTACACCTCTTTGTGGCCATATAATGTTGAGTCACACTGAATAGATTCTGAGAGGGAGGGAGGTGGGCGTGGGAGACGGTGATAACCAGAAGCACTGGTTTTCGGGATGCAGTAATTTTTGAGCAGTCCTCAAGAGCCCACGATGGTGCTGGCGACCATGGGTACAGGAGCTGCTTCCCTGCCTCTGCTCAGGCTTACTGGCAGGTGTCACAAACCCTCTCAGTTTAGGATTTTGGCCACGGGCCCTAAACCTCAATTTGCGCATCTTTTACAATAGTTCATTACATATTCTTAAAACAATTTCAACATTTTTGCTCATGACAGTAGCTAAATTCACAGAAGCTTGTGAAACCCTACAATCCTGTCCCTAGACTGAGACTTGTGAGCTGCACATGTTGCTGGTCTGTAATGGGAGGGAAATGGCGGTTTGGCAGTAGCCTGTTCAGCGTGTGATTTTCTGACATCAACTTGACCACAGAAGCGAGATGGAGCTCCAGGGCAAGTGTCGGGTGAGGTGCAGATCTACAAGAAAGACTTGAGTCTGTCTTTGGTCCCTTAAGATTCCCCCTTTAGTTATTTTGAGTAACAGGTGCTTGCTCCCCTCTCCCACCCCTACTTATAAATGAAAATTATTGGTTTGGAGGGGCTGGTGATCCAGACATGGGAGGTGGGCTTGCTTTCCAGGTAGTTACTGGGATTCCTTGTGTAAAACTCTTGGATTCTGATCCCTCTGGCTCTTGCTTGGTTCTTTCCAATGGCTGAAACCACTGCTTTGCTCTGCTGTCTATTCTCAGGGCCCTGCTCCTGGGCAGTAGTGGCCTACTTACAGAGCCTCCCAGAGGAGCTGGGCAGCCCGCCCCTGTTCTCCTCTGTGCTGGAGCATGGGCTGACTCCTGGGTAGACTCCACCAGACTGGAGGGCGTAGGGTGGTAAGATTATTGCAGTGGCCTAGGTAAGTCACAGAGATTTAACTAACATCACTGTGTCCCCTGGGATTCCCTGACAGGTTGGAGGACTTGTTTCTGATATTCCATAGCAAAATGCTGATGGACAGGGAAATGTCCACTTGCTGCTTAATGGAAGACCGTGGATAACAGACACTTGCAATAGGAGAGTTTGGAGAATGAAATTAAAATTGGCAGGACCAACCGTGTAGATATTATAAAAGGTATTTAAGATTTTAAAGGATTCACACGTGCGCGCGCGCACACACACACACACACAGAGGCGATGCTTCAGATGGATTTTCCTTAAAGAAATGCCTCACTAATTCTAAAACCATTTCCCAACTCTTCTTGCCTTTTCCTCTTGGCCTATCCATTGAGAGCTGAGCACAAGGTCTAAGTGTCCACATCTCATCTCTGTGGGCTGCTTGTTTTGTTTGTGGAAGCACAAGGGAGCTTTTATGTCCTGTTTTCACCAAGCTTGATCAATGGAGCGACTTGGCCTGCTTGTTGCCCCGCCGTCCATTTGTGTTCAGCCAAGCCCAAAGTGCCACCTCCTATTAGAGTCTAAATATTAATTAGGCTGAAACCGTTAATTTAATCAGTGGCCACTTCGGGGCCTGGACAGCTTTTGACCCTTGTCAGTGTGTTTAGTAACCAGCCAGCTCGCCCTCCAGGATAAATGCATGCTATACACATGAAAGGACTTGGGCACTGAGCTAGTCCCCGTGGATGAATTAAGCGACTCCTTGTATCCACAGGCTGGCTTCACTAGCCCAGCCCCTGACCAACCTGCGTCCTTAGTAAAATTCCAGATACACAGAACAGAGTGAGCCACCCAGCTGTTTAATGGAGCTGAGTAAAGTAGGAAAGATTGGCCTGCTTGCTGGTGCTGGGAGGGCAGGGCGTGGCTGGGCTGAGGCTGTGGGGAAGCTGTGTTCTGGGGAGGTGTGATCCATATGGCTTGCAAGAAGGCTGCTTCCCGCGCTTGGCCATGGCTGCACCGGCCTCGCGGCACCCAGCTGTGGCTCCCTAGTCCTTCTCCGGCTCCCAGCAGTGGCAGCCATGGGTCCCCTGGCCTCAGGCCCATGCTCCCCAGGATGGCTGTCTCAGGCTCATTCAGGTGGCTCCCCTTCCTTTTCAGATTCAGTTTAGAGGAGGTCTTTCTGAGGTTAGAAAACTGTCTCTGATTTTTCCAGTTTCTTTATTTTACCACATTTTACTAATCTTTGGTTTGGTTCTAGGCAAGTGACTTCCTTACAATGATACACTTTGAAAGACAGCCTTTTTCTTCGAGTTTAATCTTTTATATTTTATTAACATCACAGTTTGCTAGGAGGGCCCACTTAAAACATGCCCTGAGCACCTACTACGAGCCATGCGTATACTCTGCCTCATGCACAAGGTACCTCACTACAGGAACTGCAGTGAGATTACCTGATGTTCTGTTTCATGCTGCCGTGTCTGTTATCACACGGAGAACACCCATCACCCCTGGAATTTGGGGAAGGTAGCGCTGACTGCCCTATCTATGCACAGGGCGTGAGTATTAGGAGGGAATATAGTAATGAAAGAACCAGGGAATGGTGGGAAAGAGGATACACGCACTCTGGTGTCCCTGGAAAGGTGACTTGAACCTGTAAGCACAGTACCATTTTATCATGCTGATGCAGGAAGATCTGCAGGAAATTTTCCCTGGCTGGCGGGTGTCCTCTGAAGCTGTGTTTTTAAATCCCTACCATTGTGCACAAATTGAATGGATCTTTGTTGTATTTCAGCTTCAACAAGTCAGCTAGGAGGGAAAATGCTGGCCTTTCTTTGGGTCAAAGTGTAAAACAAAGCAAAAAACAACAAATGTAACCTTTCCAAATCTATATACAGTGACTCCCCTTTTCTTTCTGTCCTTTCCAGTTTCTAAATGCCACAGTTATTAAAGGTTAGATTTTTGGAAGGAACATGTGCTAGTATATGGGAGAAAATAGTCCATTTGGGGGCTCCAGGGTCTCCATCCATAGGCCTCTCCATCCCTGGCCTCTAGATGCATGTATAGACCCATGGAAAGTTATTCAGATTTGTTGACTATAAACTAATGTTGTTTGTCATGGATCTAGACATATCTGTGATGGCTGTAAAATTCAGGATGATGAGGAGTTTAAAAGGACTGTTACTGTAGTTGGAGTATCAGGGAGGACATTTAAATGCTGAGATGTTTCTAGGAACAAGGGACAGAATATAGGAAAGCGGGAAAATTTAGGCCATGTGGTCACTGTTTATGGAGCCACGAATTTGGCTCCTCAAGGGACCAGGTCCCAAGCTACTGGTGACTGAAACACATCCAGACCAAACTGCCTCTCATGCCCGGCCTCCCGCCCAGCTGAGCTCAGAGCAGCTGATCTTACTTCAGTAGGCATCGAAACACCATCAGGGAGACTGGCCGAGGCAGGTTCTGGGCCCCTGACTAGAAATTCTGACTCCTTTGGTCTGAAAGGAGGCTTCATTTGCCTTTGTAACCACTCTGCACAAGCCACGGCCACACTGAGAAGCTCCCTGCAGCCTGTGACCACCTGGCTGTGCGTTTGGAGCTGTGTGGTATCACAGAGCGTTGGGGGGGTGGTTGTCAAGGACTGATGATGGCCACTGGGTGTCCCATGTTCTTCAGCTCCTACAGCACGTGGACTCTGTGGTCCCACATCCTGGGACCTACAGTTCTTCTCTCACCCTCTGATTCAGAAAGTAGCTCAGCATTATTTCTTTGAAGGATCTATCCATGAAAAATGGGAGCAGGAAATATACCTGGTAAAGTAGAAGAACCCAGACTGCAAGTCCTGTGACTCTGCGCTGGAATCATGTGATGGACACCTAGGGGCAGAGCCCCTTGGTCCTTCTACGGGAGCAAACTCAACTGCCACCATCAGGAGAGAAGCGAGGGCCCCAGGCCTTGAGACCCCTGAGGCTGGGGCTCTGCTTCTCTCAACATGGGACCTACATGAGTGACCCCTAACTTCTCAGGGCCAAGTGGG